TACCTGGAATGCCTGAAGATTATGTGCAAATGATGCAGAGATGTTGGGATGTGGATCCATCAAAAAGACCAACTAGTAGAGAACTTTGGACATTCGCTAGAAATAAACTTAAGGAAATTCGTGTTAATAAAAGTTTGAAAAATAATAGTTTAATAAAAAGATTATTCAAATTTTCTAAAATCAAAAAACATGAAATTGATTTTAATAACGATGATAGCAGCAGCAGCAGTGGTGGTGGTGGTGGTGGTTCGCAACAAGTACACAAATTACATCCAGATGCATATCATACAAGTAGAATATTAGACGAACAGATTGCTAAATCTAAAAGCTTGAAAATTTGTACAAGTAATGATAGTTCATTAAATGGTCTTGATTTTAACTCTTTTCTTTAGAATGTTAAAAAACGTGAATAAAAATTAATGGATAGTAATTTCCAATTAATTAATAATGAAATTTTTATTCAACTTAACAATATTAATTAATTAATAAATAAATATTTGATTCTACTAATATTAATAAAAGATGCGATGAATGACTAATTTAATCTCCACTATAAATTTATTGTTATCTTTTTATTTCATCCTTATTTGTTTTTCAAACCTTTACAGTTTTTTTATTTTTGTTAAATGGCGATATTATGAGATATCATTTCGGTTAATTAACAGTTATGGCTTAACTTTTGGGCCACTCTTGTCGGTTAATTTGGTGCAATTAATTATTTTACGACTTACTTTGGTTCTTGATTACTGCACCCAGACGAATCTGTGAATCCAAGCCTTTGCTTACTCACTAAAGCAAATTATGTTAATAATCACTGTCAACACTCACTAGTTAACCAACATTAGTCCTAACCTTGCTTTGCTTGCTCACTAAAGCAAATAAATGTGTCCTTTTACCAAACAAAGAAAGACAATGTTTTTATTTTTATTTTTAAAAGTTTATTAACGATTAATTTTATTTAATAGAAATAATGATTCTATTACAGAGTTTTATTTTATCATAATGTTAATATCTATTATTTTCCTCTGCAAAACCCAAAAAGTTATGTTTTTTCAAGCGAAGACCAGAAGTTATCCTTAATGATCATCACAACAAGGATAAAAAAAAATGGGATTATTATTGCAAAGTAACTTAATCAATCAATGTTGATGTTATAAAAACTTTCATAATTATTTACAAAGTAATTTGATAATAATTATAAAAAGCTTTGGTGTAAACTAAAATTAATTGACTCTGGAACATAAGTTTACCGAATTCCTAATTGATTATTTCATCTACCCGATCATGTATCACGTTATAAGAAATGTTGAGTTTGGCATTAGTAGTAGTAAATGAGAGTGTGAGAATTGATTTTGTATTCAGCAAAAGAAAAACTTAACTCCTTGGGGACAACTGATGAAACAAAGGAGCGATTGCGATACACAAGAAAAATATAACAAAAAAGACCTTGGTTAAGTCGAACAACCCTTAGCCGGCTAAAACCCCAATTGACGAAAAAACTTTTCAGATGGTACTAAGCTTACCGGTATTATATTATTGTTACTATTATCATTATTGTTATTATTATATACCGTCATTATATTTAAGGGTTCGGATAAAACGAATAAAACGAATAATAATAAAGATTGAGTTGTATTACGAGTAGAAATTCCATTACTTTTATCCTGCTACAGGTATTGCATTTTTTTGTTTTTTTTGAGCAAATATACGTTTTTTCGTCATTCTAAGTAAGGTTATTAAAGAAGATGAACTATTTGTGTAATAAAATTTATTATTTCAATTTTCATTTCGTAAATCGGACGCAGCAATCAATTGTTTAAAAGTACTTAATCTCAATTTTAATATTAATTTGAATTTATTATAATTATTCGTTTATCCCAATTATTTATTATTATTTGTTTTGTTTGTTTTATTCTAATTGTTCGATTTATTCGATTTATTCGATTTATTCGATTTATTCGATCTATTTGATTTATTCGATTTATTCAATCTATTTGATTTATTCGATTTATTCGATCTATTTGTTTTACATTCTATTACTATTACGATGTGATTCTAATAACGAGTAAAACAGATAATAATAATAATAATAATCCAAATAAACTTATTCAAGTAGAAATCTTGTAGTCGTGGAATAATTATTTATTTGCAATGATTTACCACAAAATAATTAATATATACGTTTTAGTTTAATTATAGAACGCGATGATCTTTCTAAAAAGGGAATATACTACTACCAAATTTTTTCTCCTACAGTTACGAAAATATATCAAATGAAAACTTGTGGCTTATTCTTTTATTTAATGTATTTGGGATTTTTAAAAAAATTAAAATTTTTTTTATTTCTTGTTTAAAGTTTATTTGAACATCAAGATTAATAAACAACGTTGTTTTGGGGTATATGTTATCATTTTAAGTAGAGGTTTTGTATTTTTATATATATATTTATTAATATGTCTATTTGTGACGCCCCAGATAATTGTAGATATATACATTTATTAATAAATTATATATTAGTATAGTATTGGTGACTGAACTGATAGGAAATATACAGGACACTCATGTTATAAATAGAAGCAAAAAATATCAGTATGATAATAACGAGAATGTCATTATAATAATAACAAAAGTTCATATGTGAGAATCATTACCATGTGATTTTAAACATAAAAAATTCAACCCATCAAAAATTTTGAGAAAACCATATATTTGATTCCACTTTCAAACATCTAAACTAATTTGTTTAGACTCTCTAAAATTCTGTTTCATCAACAGAAAGTCGTCATTTATTCGATTCTATTTTTAAAAAATCCCAACTAATTTTGCTTGGCTCTCTGAAATTCTGTTTCAAGATCGATTTTTCAGAATGATTTTGATTGGTTCCATAACGGGGTAAATAGTGAGTGTCATTATAATAATAATAACTGAAGTGCATAAAAAATGTCATTATTATTATAACAAAAATTGGCATTATAAAGAGCGGTATATTATTAAAAAAAGAAGCATATATATTAATTTACTCAATTTGGAACTGGTATATGTTTTTAACAAAGGAAAGCTCAATCTACTAATTGATGATGTGAATAAAAATTATTAAAATTTAAATTTTAATAATGAATACCTTTATTAAGAAGATGAATTAATAAATTCATGGGGTAGATTTACCAATTGCCAGTGTCCCCTAAAATTCCTGCTTGTATTAATATATAATAATCTGATTTTAAAAATAAATAAATTTAAGTTAAATAACCAGTATATATACAGGTTACGGTAATTGCCCAATTGTTAATTTCTTGTGATTATTTTTTAAAATTAAGCATTAGTATATAAAGACAACAAACTTTCTTTTTACACAACACAAATCGTATTATTTGCTTAACAAAATAATAAATAACATAAAAAGATTTATCGATCTCTGGAGAGAGAGACCTTTTGTAAAATTACGAAAACTACAAAAAAAATTAAACTGAATTTTATAAATTTTTCATAACAGCCTCAATCACAAATGAAAAAATCATCTTTATTGACCACTTTGGTCTTGTTTTTTTTTATTACTATCGCTTCTTCATCTGGAATATTTATAGAAGATGAAATTGAGCCTTTTGATGAAGTTGAGTATTGGTGGTCTTTATCTACTCAAGTTGAACAAGAAGTTTTAGGATCAGCCTATTTCACCCAGACCGCACCACCAATTTGTAAAAGTGTAATGTATTTTGATAGAGGATTTGCTTCAAAAGATCCTAACGACTATGGATTCACTGTCGGTTATTTTAATATGAGCAAACATTTAAGAGATGAAATTCCGATCAACACACCTGGAACTTCTCCATTTTCGCTCGATTTTACAGAGTTTTCCTGTCGACAAATCGTTGGCAAAAAATTTATTATTAAATGTCGTGATGATACAATTGGTGATTACAGAATTAGGAAACTGTAATAATAATAGATTAAAGTGATAGAGCTTTGGTAAAGACCATGGTTTTATGCGGCAGTAAACTATCAATTATGCATGCAATAAAAACAAATTATGCATACCAAAAAATTTCAAAAACAAAATTTATTTGAAATTTTATAAATTCTTAGATTTTTTTTACGAGCAATGAATGTCAACGACTCCACTCATAGAATGATAACAAAGAATATCTTTAGATGTTCTTTTAATCTTGTATATATAATTGGTTGGTTACCCATATATAATAAACTATTTATTTTATAGGTTTAGACAATGATTTTTCAATTGTAAATTTTAACTCTTATCAATTTTTTATAATCAATATTTTTTCAATATAAATTTAAAGCTTTAATCAATATTTAATAAATGTAAATTAAATATTTAATCAATGTTTTCCCAATGTAAAAATTTAAAGATTTTTATCAATGTTTTTAATTAATTGTACTTAATATCATAACAAATGGAAAAAATCGAGCAATAAATAGTCTATATTATACATGATTTTACGATTTATTATAATTATTAATGTCAAAATTAACTATCTTGAGAATCAATCATCCGAATTTAATGAAACATGGCTTATTAGTATTAGTAGTCATGCGACGTCGTGCCAAATTGGCCAGATATCATATGATCGCAATATTGATGTAGAATATATGATTAAGAGAGTTCAAGCCGTAAATTTCTGAAGGATGTCATTTATGTCTGCCTCAGATCTTTCATATGCTTCATCCTCTTGGGTAGCCAATCTAAAATATAATTGGTATAATTTTTCCATACTAGTATATACTTCTTCAATATACCATTCTTGGAAATCTGCTAATTGTTCCATGTAGGTTGCTTCATCTTGAACAAGTTGTTTTGCTACACGTCTAACATGATCCTCTGGATCTCATTTTCATTGTAATGTTTTCAGATATCCTCCATATGTTGTACCAAGTTTGTCATATCTTTTTTTACCTTGACAGTATGCCACATTGATTGCCTCAATTTGATGTCTTTGTAGTCTACCATTTTGAATAATACATTTTTTATTATATATGATCTTGTGTTTAAATAAAATTTATCCATTTCAATGTCGAAAGAATTTACTTGCATAACTCTGGTGAATTTTGTGGATGTGGATGCCGACGGCCTAAAGGATGCCATGAACATTTGAGGTCTAAAAAACGCGTCCCTTGCAAAATTTGTGGTAAGCCTAATTCTTCTGCACCTCTGACGTGTAAAACGGATGCTGGTGATTATTACCTTGCACAATTCTATGCAAGACGGAAGCCTTTTGATATTATGCATCAGAGATCACTAGATTTCAGATACAATCTGAACATCAATTCTCCAAGGAATATAATCAGAATTCATGAGATTTAAAAGATTCCAGCTAAGCAAGTAAACACATTATGATTTAAGAGGCACGCTCAAGAAAGAAGGCAAATTATTATTATATCTCTTAAGAATTTAACCGTTTTGCTTAAGCAAGAAAAAAAATTATTATTCTTAAGCTTCTAAGGGAAATTAAATTTAGAAAAAAACACCTACTCTAGAGCAAGTTCCTGTATATTAAGTAAAGACATATAAAAAATAGTATCAAATCCGTGTTCTGGCTAGCTAAAACCTTGCGGACTAAAGGTTAAAAAAACACCAAGAAATATGTAAAATAAAAAGCGTACTCGCACTCTTTGCTGCTAGATATAATATTTATGAATGTTGATACGTCAATGTTGTTTCTTCTTTAATAAAATAATTGTTCATTAAACACACTATTAACACATTGTTATAATTGGCATAATAATATTCATACCTCCAACATGTTTGCTGTTGATTTTTTTATGGTTGAGTTGTTACAACAAGTTTAATAAAATTATTTTCTTGGATGCGGAATATTGGAAACATCTCTCATCTAACTTCTGAATTATCTTGTTATTTTTCAAATTACTTTGGTGTTAACTTAGGCTTCTATTGATATGTGCTTTATAAGCCAGAAATAAATTTTTGATGGTCCAGGAAAGGGAATGAATTTCGATTTATAACTTGTCGATCGACCAATCAAATTTATGATATTAATTTGTGTTGTACAAATTTTTATTACGCAACAAAACAACACGAAACACGAAACAGAAGAAAACAACTATATAGTTAAACGGACACCCATACATTACCAGCACTCTTTCTCTCACTCTAACTGCCAGTCCAACTTCAACCGCTCAACTGTCGCTTCTACTTCAACTGTCAACTGCAGCTCCCGCCCTCATTCCCACTCCCAATCCAGTAGATGTGATTATTTTCTAATCTAAATAAATTCACCACTACTATTTTAATAATCATAATAATAAAAATAATAGACAGTGATGGTAATGTCAATAATAATAATATAATATTAATAGTAAGTTATATATGTTTGTTATTTTTTTAAAATATTAATATAAAAAAATGCATAATAATAAATTCATTCTTATATTTCTTTTAAACAAAACAATTATTAAAGGAAAATAATCAACATAAATCGTCTCAAAAGATGATGGTTTTTTTCTTACACCGAATTATTGAATTGTTGTTTATCTGCCACTAGGATTTGGTAAAAGAGAACTGGAAGTACTTCGTGGCCACAACTTGTGAAATTTGCCAATTAGGTAACCAGCCCTAATGTATGGTGGACAATTTGTTGTGAAGTCCTTCTCTACACCAATTGAAAAGCCAGCTGATGTGGATCAGGGCCTGTGGTGAATATGAGAATTAAGAGACTGGAAGCACTTTGTGGCCACAACTTCTATTGTGAACATCCTCCTTAATTCTGTCAATAATCATCTCATCAATGGTGATAAAAGGCTTATAAAGCATTATTTCATTTTTCATACTAGTGTTAGAATTTAGGATCCATAACATCTATGGTGTTAGTATACTGAGTCAATGGCATTATATCGAAAAGTGTATTTATTAGATTCAATACTAATCAAACATAATATTGGATCTAGTATATTATATTTAATTTTTAGAAATGAAGTGGGACATTTATAAGTAAAGCTCCAAATGATTCGGTTTTGGTTTTAAAAAACCAATTTGAAAATTTTTAGTTCGGTTTCAGTTTAAATTATAAAAAAAATTTTTTTTTTTTTGATAATTTTTTTTTTCTGATAATAAATATAATATATGTTAATATACAGTATACAGTATAATAATAATTAATCAAAAAAAAAAAAATAAAAAAATAATTAATAATTAATTCCTCTCCTTCAATTTTACCATTAGTCATTGATTTCTTCATGAATGAATTACATAATTCTCTTGATAATAGTTCTCCTATTTATAATAGTGAAGAAGTTGAAGAGGATTCATCAGAAATTATCATTGGTGATAATTTAAATTCAAATCAACATGCTACAATTCAAAATAAAAAAAATAGGTCAATTGTGCACTCTAATTGCATATTGGATGAAAGAATCAATAAGTATAAATGTAAACACTGCAAGTATGTATGTCAAACAGATTAAAAGAAAATAACATTGATTTATTGATATTATTAATGCTTTTTTTTTAGGAATTCTTATAAGGTATCAGTATGTGGGTCAACATTAACTATGTTAAATCATCTGAAAAAATCCCATAGAACACTTTTTAATCCTGTGAGTGGTCCTATGATAATTATGTTGAAAAAAATGATTTACTTGTAAGTTTAGGCTTTTTTGAATGGTTTTATTATTTTTATTATCATAAATTATGAATAATAAATAAATAAATAAATAAATTTTACACAAGAAGATTTTTGCAAAGATTTAATTAAATGGATAATTGTCAATGACCAGCCTTTTTCAGTTGTTGAAAATAAAGCTTTTAAAAAAATGGTACAAAGATTGAATCCTGAGGTGTTGGTTCCTTCTGGTGATGCTGTTCATAATATGCTTACTAAATCATTTGATAATCAAAAACAGCAACTAAAAGAGGAATTGAAAGCTTCTCCAGGTCGAGTATCTTTTACACTAGATGCTTAGACATCAAAAAATCAGATTCCTTTTCTAGGAATTACTGCACATTGGATTTAGTGTTGGTTTCCAAAATTAGAGAGTTTTGCAACTGTGTGAAAGTCAAAAGGTTTCACCATAAGTCAAAACTAGTTTTGATTTTTGACTATTGACTTTTGATTTAGTTTTGACATATAACTTTTAATTTTAGTTTTGACTTTTGCCTCTTCAAAATAGTTTTGACAACCAACACTAATTGGATTACCAAGTGTTGGTCCTTAAAACATACTATACTAGAATTCTTTCCTTTAGAAGGACCACATACTGGAGAGAATTTATCAATTATCCTATTCAATACATTGAAAGATTGGAAATTATTGGAGAAGGTAAGGTATAATATTTCATATAATATATATATATATATAATTGGGCCTAGAACACTAATGATATTAATTTTATTATCTATACTTTCAAAGATGTTGGGTGTTACATGTGATAATGCAAAAAATATGGATACTTTATTTGAGAATTTTGAAATCCTTTGTGAAGAAGAAGGCATAAAATTTGATGCATCTAATCAAAGAGTGAGATGTTTGGCACATATAATTAACTTGGCAGCACAATCTACTTTAAAAAGTTTAAAGTGTCTTGCTCCAGAAGAAGAACCATCTGTATTAGATGATGATGATGATGAAACTATGCTCCTGTCAAGTGTTATAAATAAGGTTAAATATTTTTAGTTTAATTGTTATTTATTTCTCTTTACCATGATAACATTTTTTTTGTTTATAGTTAAGAAAATTGGTTATTAAGATCCGATCCTCTTCACAAAAAAGAGAAAAGTTTAAATGACATTGCAAAGCATCTAACATCAAACACCTCCAATTAATACCTGATGTTAAAACACACTGGAATAGCTCTTATGATATGATGCAAAGAACATATCAACTTCGCATTGTAAGTTTAAATATTATAATGGTTTAATAGTTGATGAATTATTTATTTAACAAATATTTTTTCTAGCCATTGGATGATACTGGATTGACAGATAATGGTCTTAAAGATTATGTGTTGTCAAATTTTGAATGGGATAAAATAAATGACATTTTAGGTCTTCTTAAGGTAACAATAGTAATAAAAATAATGACTAATAGCAATAGTGGACACAATGGCAAATTGGGTGTTTTGGGACAGAATTTGATATATAGGAATATTACAGTTCTAAGCCTCTAGGATGTCAAATCCATTACTAGGGTTAGATTTTTATTTTTGTGCATCATTCGAATGACGTTACGTTTGCATTTTTGTCGTCATTTTTGACCCCATTTTGGTTAGATTTTTTATTTACATATCAGAAAACGCCTGTAGAGGCTATAGATTTCTTATTTATATAGCTAGCTTTTAGCCGTTTTTATTGCCTCCAAAGCTTAAAAAGCTATGCAATCTAAAAATCTAACCAAAAAATCTAACGAAATTTTATGCTACTCAGCTTGCCATTAAAAAGGGCTATGCGAAGTGAATAGATATGAATGTAATGAATATCTATGAACGAAGCATAGCATGGCTAGAACG